CATTTGAGCATTTCATCAAATACTAGTTGAGCATCTTGATTTCAAATCTCTTTTACTAGGTTTCCTTCATTCCCCAACCCAATATTTACTTGTTTATGTTCAACAATCTTTTCACAAACCTAATTTGTACATGCATGTATACATAGTAGTATTACACCCAAGAATCATACCTCAATACCCCACCTTAAACCCCAAACTCGAAATTAAAGTCTAGGGTATCGAACCTTACCTCTTAGATGAAGAACTTGTGATTGGATTCTTTGATTCTTGAAAATTGATGCAAGATTGGATGATTGAATGTTGGGTTCCTCCTTCTCTCTCTAATATCAGTAAGAAATAACCCCAAAATGAACCCCAAAGCCTATATATTAAAATGGGGTCGGGTTATAAAAATAAGAAAATTAACCCTCCGAAGTTAGGTTTGCGATCGCAGAATGGACCGCAAAACATGAATGCGGGTCGCAAAATGCATCGCAGAATCGGTGCCCAAAACTGGGCTACACTGGTCCAGTTTGCGACCAGATTTGCGATCGCAGATCAAGTATGCGTACCGCATAATGGTTTTTGCGATCGCAGAATTGACGCAGGATCACATTTTTCCAGCCTTTGGTAATTTGATCATAACGTTGTGTAGGAATGTCTGAATGACGAACGGTTTGAAGCGTTGGAAACTAGATTCAAAGACATTTTATTTGATAGACTGTGAATCACACAAATCCTTATATAACTGGAGATATAATTGTCCAAAGTGAGGTCTTGTGCGCACTCATTTGCAACTTTCGTCTATTATGAAATTTTCCAACTTGGCTTAGACTTAGGCCGCTCCTTAGACCCCAATTCACTTCTAATATGACTTATACACTTATTAATATATCCAATTGATATCCATAATATCCTTAATCCTCATTTGTATGCAAGATAAAATATTTAGCCTACCTTGGCACCACGAAATCTTAAATTACTAAGCAAAATATTATGAGGCTTTACATTCTCCCCCGCTTAAGATCATTCGTCCTCGAATGAGGATCAAGTTTCATTCATTAGTCATCCTTATGTAACTTCTGCTTTTCACATTATGAAATATATCATCAGCCCCGAATTTGGCTAACTCCTTAAATTTCCGAAAATTTTGCCAGAGTTTCCTTTGTAACTAGGACTATCCACCTGTTAGAGGGCCCCAGATACATATCCTAACATCATATACATGTTGCATAGACATAACATAACTTGTTCAACACCAACCATGGCCGCATAGGCAACATACATAATCTAAATGGAATAGTTTAACATAGATCAAATCAAAAGATAAGAGTTTATAGGAACCAAATGCATGAAAGCTATTATATAACTATTCAAAAAAATGTGGGTACTTCTTTCTCATTTCTTCCTCGGCTTCCCAAGTGGCTTCCTCAACTTGCTAGTTCCGCCATAATACTTTCACGGATACAATTTCCTTATTTCTCAGTTTTCGAACTTGCCTATCAAGAATGGCAACTAGGACTTCTTCATATGATAGCTCTTCATTCACCTCAATAGTCTCGATTGGCACGATGGTGGATGGATCCCCTACTACCTTCCTTAACATAGACACATGAAAGACCGGGTGTACCAATGATATCTTGGGTGGCAGCTCGAGTTTGTATGCCACCTGACAATTAATATAGAAGACTCAAATCCTAAGGGGGTGTCCCCCACACAAGGTTAGGTACGATACTTACCACAATTCAGCCAATTCAATACTCAATTTAGCTTTTCATTTACCAATTTATCAACGCTCGGCTCAATCTAGCCAAAAACGACTTGAATACATCAAACAATGCAAGAGAAAATAATTTCAAATGACAAAACTATGATTCTGATACAATTTGCAAAACAGTCAACTCCCCGGGCCCGCACCTCGGAACCCGATAAAATTTAAAAAAACCGAACACCCATTCCTCTACGAGTTCACCCATATAAAAATTATCTAATTCCGATACCATTTGGTCATTCAAATCATCATTTTACATTTTTGAAAGATTTCACAATTTTCCCAAAATTTTCCATTGTATTCTCATGAATTTGATGTTAAATCTAAGATATAATCACAAAATATAGTTGGAAAATCACCTATGGAGTTTAAGGGTTTGAGAAAATTGAAAAATGGATGAAAATCCCGTCTAAAATCTCACTTAATAGGCCTCAGATGTCGCAGTTGCGACCCAGGGTTCGCAATTGCGAACCTATTGCAATTGCGAACAAGGCATGGCAGGCAGAAGTCGCATTTGTGACAAAAAATTTGCATTTGTGAACTGGGCATCACAAATGCGATGAGAAAGTTTGCATTTGCGACCACACCAGAAACCAACAATTTTCCCGACACGAAAATGAGCATAACTTCCTCATACGGTGTTGAAATTTGATGATTCTTTTTCCTATGACTCCATAAATTCGATACGGATCTAATGGTTCAATAAAAACTGAATTTGGATCTCATTTCTCAATGTGGTATCATTTTTGCTTGAAGAAACGACGACGAAGCATCGAAAAACAAGTGCAACATAGCCTAAACCTATTCGAAACTCACCCAAGCCCTCGGGGATCCAAACCAAACATGCACGCAAGTATAAAAACATTATATGGACTTGCTCGTGTGATCAAATTATCAAAATAATATCAAAAACTATGAATTTAACCTCAATACTCATGATTTTCTAACCTTTCAACCGGACGTCCAAATCACACCAAATCAATTCCGATTCTCACCAAATTTTACAGATAGGACTTAAATATCATAATAAACTTGTACCAGCCTCCGGAACCAAAATATGGGCCCAATAACAATGAGTTCAAACATTACTTCATTTCTTTATTTCATTTAAAAACCAGCACAACAATTTTCTTCAAAATTTGTTTTCTAAGGCTAGGGACCTCGGAATTTAATTCAGGGCATATGCCCAAGTCCCATATTTTACTTCATGTGTACCCAATATTGATGGGCTTCGGGAGTTTATTCTAGAGGAGGCCTACAGTTCGCGATATTCCATCCATTCGGGTACTGCGAAGATGTACCAGGATTTGAGGCAGCACCATTGGTGGAGGCGGATGAAGAAAGATGTAGTTGGGTTTGTAGCTTGGTGCCTCAATTGTTAGCAGGTGAAGAATAAGCATCAGAGACCGGGTGGCTTGCTTCAGCAGATAGAGATTCCGGAGTGGAAGTGGGAGAGGATCACCATGGACTTTGTAGTTAGGCTCCCATGGACTTTGAGGAAGTTCGATGTCATTTGGGTGATCGTGGATCGGCTAACCAAGTCTGTGCCTTCATTCCTGTGTGTACTACCTATTCTTTGGAGCGGTTGGCAGAGATTTATATCCAGGAGATTGTTCGTCTGCATGGTATTCCAGTTTACATCATTTCAGATAGAGGTAATCAGTTCACATTACGGTTTTGGAGGGCCGTACAACATGAATTTGGTACTCGAGTGGAGTTGAGCACAGCATTTCACCCCAGACGGACGGACAATCTGAGTGTACTATTCAGATTCTCGAAGATATGCTATGTGCGTGCGTGATAGAGTTTGAAGGTTCTTGGGATCAGTTCTTTCCATTGAACGAGTTTGCCTACAACAACAGTTATCAGTCCAACATTCAAATGGCATTGTATGAGGCTTTGTACGGTAGGCGGTGTAGATCCCCGGTGGGTTGGTTCGAGCCGAGCAAGGCTAGATTTTTGGGAACTGACTTGGTTCAGGATGCTTTGGAGAAAGTTAAGGTGATTCAGGATAGAATTCGCATAACCAAGTCCAGACAGAAGAGTTATGTGGACCGGAAGGTTTGTGATGTTTCATTTATGGTTAGAGAGCTGGTCTTGCTTCGGGTTTCACCAATGAATGGCGTTATGTGATTTTGGAAGAAGGGGAAATTCAATCTGAGGTTTATTGGTCCTTTTGAGGTATTACGATGTGTTGGGGAGGTTGCTTATGAGCTTGCCTTACCTCCCAGCTTGGCGGGATTTTATCCGGTATTTAATATTTCTGTATGACAAATCTGGGGCCCGGTTTCCCCGTCGTATGGTCGTCTCGCGGTCATACCCCTCGAAGCTCGAAGCTAATTTCGAGACTCATCTTCGGGGGTCGTCAGATATCGGCCTGGAGGATATCATATCCCGATAGCTATAGGGGGATACGACATGCGAGAGTGGAGTTCCCAAGGCATACGGCTCAATCTGACAGAGCTGGCCTATTCGGGGCCTATTTCAAGATGTCACGTCCAGCCATCATATCTCCACGCCTTCACGGTTAACGCATTTTGTACTATAGCGGATTTCCCTCCTATATAGAGGGTATCCCCACCATTTTGTGAGGGGTCGGCTGATGTTACTCCAACTATTTCTCCACAAGATCAATAATATCTCTCTCTCCCTTTTCTCTCTAACTCGCTCGTTCATATTGGCTCGAGGCCACTTTGGCATTCACTTTTCTCTCACTTGTTCTTCATTTATTGCTTGGTATTGGCCATAAAGAACCTTGTTTAATCATATCTCAACTGTTATCCCATTCCGACTACCTCCGATAGCTCGAGATCGAGCTCAGGTATTGACTCCGAGGTCCTCCATCGACTAGTCCGAAGCCAGGGCAGTAAGCCCCTCGGTTTGACTACTGCCTCGTTTTAGCTTGCATTTCATCGTTAAACTTCATACTCCTAGCATTATCTGCTCTAACAACTAGCATAAAAATAGATCATGTATTTTTAGAATCCCATTTACAAATTTAATTGTTGTTACCATTATCACGATAAACAGTTTAGCGCCCACCGTGGGGCTAAAAATAATAGTGATTATTTTCTTGCTGGTTCCATCACAAAAATGCAAGTTACCTTTCACACTTTTTCTTGTCCAAGATCTCTTGATTTCAGGTCGAAATGTCTGGCTTGGTAAACGGGGTTAAGAACGACTAGCTCGAAAGCGACAGAGAAAGGGACATGACGTCCTAGAGGTCGACACACCACCTTGTTCAACCCGGATGGAAGGGAAGGTCCTACAACTTAACATCTATATGATTACTGGGGGAACCACCGCTCCCCAGGGGCCCATGTTCAAACGAATGAGAACGTCCGTTACAAAAGAAGGACTATCCCAAGAACATATACCCGAAGATACCCTCATATTCAGCGAGGAGGACCTCAAGGCTATGACCGAACTGCACAACGACGTGCTAGTGATCTCGTTCCTCTTAAACAACACCAGAATAACGCACATGCTTGTGGATCCAGGCAGCTCAGCCAACATAATCAGGTCGGAAGTAGTAGAGCAGCTGGGGCTGCTCAATCAAGTCGTTCCCATCCCTCGAATCCTCCACAGCTTCAACATGATCGGTGAAGTAACGAAAGGAGAGATTACCCTCCCTATCAACACATCTGGTGCAATCCAGAATACCGAGTTCCAGGTCATTGACGACGACATGAGATACAACGCCTTACTCGGTAGGCCTTGGATACACAACATGTGGGCAGCGCTCTCAACCTTGCCAGTCTTGGAGGAGGAGGGAAGCGTGTAGACCCCCAAAGATGACGAAGAAGACTTATTCGCCCCCCGAACTTTCGTCACCCCCGAGGAATTAGATGAGACCAAATCGACAGTCGAAGAACTGGAGCAGACCATTTTGATCAAGCACCTCCTGAATCGCAAGGTATACCTGGGAATGGGTTTGACCCCCGAACTCAAGACAGGGTTTATTCAATCTCTTATTAACAATATCGACTGTTTTTCCTGGTCCCACCTAGATATGATAGGAATCCTGCCAGAAATAACCTCCCAAAAGCTAAGCGTTGACCCCAAATTCAAACCCGTAAAGCAAAAGAGAAGACTGCAGCCCGAGATAAAACATGCCTTCATCAAAGAGGAGGTCGTGAAACTTCTTAAAATTTGATCCATTAAAGAGGTAAAGTACCCTGAATGGCTTGCTAACGTAGTAGTAGTGCCAAAAGGGGAACAAACTAACAATGTGCATAGATTATAAAGATGTGAATAAAGCGTGCCCCAAAGAGTCCTTCCCATTGCCTAATATCGATCGTCTGATCGATGCTACAGCCGGACATGAGACCCTCACTTTTCTCGATGCCTACTCGGGGTATAATCAAATCCAGATGAACCCTGAGGACAAGGAAAAGACCTCATTCATCACGAAGTATGGCACATATTGCTATAATGTAATCCCATTGGGGCTGAAAAATGCGGGAGCAACATACCAGCGCTTAGTTAATAAAATGTTCGAGCATCAAGTAGGTAAATCAATGGAAGTATATATTGATGATATGCTAGTCAAATCCCTGTGCGCAGAGGACCATTTGACCCATTTGTAGGAAACTTTCAACATCCTCCGAAGCAATAACATGAAGTTCAACCCCGAGAAGTGTGCCTTCGGAGTAGGTTCGGCCCAAATTCTTGGGCTTCATGGTTTCAAATAGCGGGATCGAGATCAACCCTGACAAAATAAAATCCATCGAAGGGATCACGGTGGTGAACAATGTAAAAGCCGTCCAACGGCTAATGGGGCGGATAGCAGCCCTGGGCAGGTTCATATCAAGATCATCAGACAAAAGCCACCATTTCTTCTCCCTACTTCGAATGGACTCCAGAATGCCAACACGCCCTATAAGGACTGAAATGGTACCTGACTAGCCCGCCTTTGCTGCACACCCAAGGAGGATGAGACGCTATACCTATACTTGGCCGTGTCCAAAATAGCGGTAAGTGGCGTATTGGTCAGAGAAGAGCAAGGTACACAATTTCCTATTTATTATGTAAGCTGAACCTTGGGGGATGACGAAACCCAGTATCCCCATCTGGAAAAATTGGCTCTCGCATTAGTAAGCGCCTCGCGCAAGCTGAAGCCTTACTTTCAATGTCACCGTATCTGAATTCTGTCAACTTATCCCCTCCGGAGCATGCTGCACAAACCTGAGTTATCGGGTCGATTGGCCAAATGGGCCATTGAGATTGGAGGGTATGATATCGAGTATCAACCTCGGACGGCCATCAAGTCCCAAATCCTGGCGGACTTCGTGGCCGATTTCTCATCATCCCTTGTGCTCGAGGTAGATAAAGAACATTTACTAAAATCAGGCACATCCTCCGGGGTATGGACCCTATTCACAGAATGTGCCGCAAACATACGAGGATCTGGGCTCGGCATAGTCTTAAAGCTGCCCGTCGGCAATATAATCAGACAATCCATAAAAATTGCAAAACTAACTAACAATGAAGACGAGTATGAGGCTATGATTTCAGGCTTAGAACTGGCCAAAAGTTTGGGAGTCGAGACTATCGAGGCAAAATGTGATTCGCTCCTCGTAGTAAGCCAAGTGAACGGAAGCTATAAAGCCTGGGAGGACATGATGCAAAGGTATTTGGACAAAATACAAATCACATTATGTCTCTTCAAAGAATGGACCTTAGTCTATGTACCCCAAGAGCAGAACACGAGGTCGATGTCCTCGCAAACCTGGGATCTTCTGCCGAAGAAGAAGACCTACTCCCCAGAGCTGTCGTCCAATTGCTCAAATCTGTGGTCGAGGAAGGTCACGTGGAGATCAACTCCACTAGCCTAACATGGGATTGGAGAAATAAATATATTGTCTATCTGAAAGACAGGAAGTTACCCGCAGATCCAAAGGAATTGAAGGCCCTACAGACTAAGCAGCCCGGTTCTCACTCGACGAAAATGGGGCTCTGTACAGGAGAACATTCGACGGCCCCTGTAGGTATGCTTGGGACCGAGCAACACGGATTATGTGCTCCGAGAGATCTACGAGGGCATCTGCGGAAATCACTCTGGGGCAGATTCCTTAGTCCAAAAGGTGATCAGAGCGGGCTACTACTGGGACAACATGGAAAAAGACACCAGGGAATTCGTTCAGAAATGCGACAAATGTCAGAGGTTTGCTCCCATGATCCACCAGGCCGGCAAGAACCTACATTCCATTTTATCACCATGGACATTAATGAAATGGTAAATGGACATTGTCGGCCCTTTGCCTACAGTGCCAGGTAAGGCTAGTTCATTCTATTTAAGACTGACTACTTTTCAAAATGGGTGGAAGCGCAAGCCTTCGAAAAAATAAGAGAGAAGGAAGTCATCAATTTCATATGGGAACACATCATATGTTGGTTTGGAATCCCGTCTGAAATAGCATGCGATAATGGGAGGCAGTTCATCGGGAGCAAGGTAACACAATTCCTTGAAGACAACAAAATCAAGAGAATCCTGTCAACATAGTATCACCCGTGTTCAAACGGCCAGGCCAAATCTACAAATAAAACCATCATTCAGACCTTGAAAAAGAAATTGGAGAGCGCCAAGGGAAAATAGAGAGAGACACTGCCCGAGGTGCTGTGGGCATACCAGACAACTTCATAATCGAGCACCGAGGAAACACCTTTCTCTCTAGTATATGGCGTCGAAGCGCTGATACCGGTGGAAGTCGGGGAACCAAGCACCTGATTCCGACATAGTAACGAGGGCTCGAACAATGAGGCCATGACAGCGGCCCTCGAGCTGGTCGATGAAAGACGGGAAGCTTCGCTGGTTCGGCTGGCTGCCCAGAAACAGAAAATCGAAAGGTACAACAACAGAAGGACAAATCTCCAATATTTCGGGATCGAGGACTTGCTCTTAAGGAAGGTTACTCTCAACACCCGGAACCCTAATGAAGGGAAGCTGGGCCAAAATTGGGAGGGGCCATACTGTATCCTCGGGATAGTTGGCAAAGGATCCTATAAGCTTGGCACCATGGAGGGCGAACAGCTTCCGAGCAACTGGAATGTATCGATGCTTAAGCGGTATTACTACTAGGGCGTCCGATTGCAAAATCCCACAAATATCCTCAAGCAAACGTCGCACTCTTTTCCTTCGACCGAGTTTTTTTTATCCCAATACAGGTTTTTTCCGGCATGGTTTTTAATGAAGAAACGTCCACACGTTTCTCGAGAAATGACGAATGAAGTTCCAATAGGAAATGACGTACCTAACCAAATGGTCCAAGGATCCGCGCCCGCGCGGAATGAGCTCGCAGCAACAAAAAAACATATATTTATGCCAAGCAATAAATAATATCTTTCAGCATCTCATGCTCCAGAAAAGGAAATTTCAGCATGCTCGCAGCAAGGGTCCCTCCACCAAATATGGCCCGAAATACTCGAAAACTTAGCGTCAACAATTTGGCACCCGCACGACCCCAGGGTCGGAACTCCGGGTTATGAGGCCCCAACAAGGTAACTCCGAGCTCACAAATATCGACCTTTGAGCCTAAACAAATTCGATGACTCGGAGACTGTCGCCAATCGCCTTGCACTGGAAAACTTGAAACTGTAAGACCCCGAGCAGGCAGACTCGGTGAAACCAGATCTATTCTACACAATGACAAAAACTGTAAGACCTCAACAGGCATGACAAAAACTGTAAGACCTTAACAAGCATGACAAAAACTGTAAGACCTCAACAGGCATGGCAAAACTGTAAGAACTCAACATGCATGACAAACTATAAGACCTCAACAGGCATGAAAATTTTGTAAGACTTTACTACAGGCATAAAAATCAATCCCGAATTATAGGCTATACGTCACATTTGTAAGAATCCTGAAAGGTCATACCCTCAGTGTAGACGCCTAAACTATAACTCGAGATAAAAAATGGCTCCAGCCAAACCCATATGACTACGGTCAAAACGGTTGCTCCAGCCAAATTAACGTAACTCGGGATTCCCAACTGTTGCTAACAAAATCACAGGCCATTACTTCGAATATACTTCGAAGAAACCGGTTAAAATAGGCTTCCCTCAATAGGCAAAAATGAGCTTCGACCGTGTCAGCTCCAAATCATAAGGTTTCGAGCTACTCAGCCTATGAGCTAAGAACCTTCTGAGGTGCTCGAACATCACCGCTAATGACTTGAAATAGAGGTTCTTCCAAAACCGACGACGGGTCAGGCAAAATCATTTCAAAAAGACCTTAACGAGAGGAAAACAAAGCCTACAAAAAGCCCACAGGCAAAAGCATAAGAGCCATTGTCGCCAGCCAAACGAGCCTCCGGGCCACACACTAAAAAGGTCTCAATGACCAAACAACGTAAGATACACTGTCAACAGCTCAAAAATTGAAAACTTGAGGATTAAAATGAGCTCGAGTTGTAACCCTATTCGCAGACCGGATCCAAAATAGTTAACTATAATATGCCTAAGGGAACGACATAAATGCCATTGTCGCCAGCCAAATGAGCCTCCGGTCCATGCACTTGTAAGGTCACTTCGACCCAAAGCACAAAAACGCTTGAGGGACAATTGAGGCTCGAGTCGCAACATGACTCAGAGACTGAACCCAAAAACAAGCGAAATACAAATGCCCAAGAGCAAGCGACAAGAACCAACATCGCCCGGCCATGCAGGTACAAGAGATTAAAGATTTAGTAGGCTTGAGACAAAACTCAGCCTGAAGACTCAACACAAAACGGTTGGGCAAAAGCGCAAGGACTCTCATGGAAGTTCACTCTGAAGGCCAC